TCACGACGTCGGTGGTAACGTTACGTAAGTAAGTACTTCGTAGTACGTCGACACTCTCCTCCTCCTCCCCTCCCCTCCCTACCACCCACCTCCCACCTCTCTCTCTCTCTCTCTCTCTCTCTCTCTCTCTCTCTCTCTCTCCGATTTGCTGTATCCAAATCCATGGATGTTGTTGTTGATGCAGCACTTAGTTGTTGGTAAAAAAATAACTCAATCCATGTGTTTTATTATGATGAAATCGACTTTGACACTTAAGGGGGAACATTTTGTCCACTCCACCTTAGAAATTCAGAACAACATTTATGAGAATCCATCCAATTTAAAAAGGGTGCGGTTTCTAAAAATAGTGTTTAGAAATGTGGTTTCAATGTTGGAAATCTTTGTGGTAGCCTTAAAATATATTGGTATCTTTAATAATGTTTAAAGATTCGAAAATAGTGTAGATCGAGCAGATCGATGAAAACTTGAAAATCTTGAAAATTGATGGTTCAAAATGCGTTTCAAGATACAATATTGCTAAAATTTGAAATCCCTTGTTTTTCTTCATGTTCATATATCTTGATGTTGAGATAATCGATTTGAAGATATTTGGACATCAAACAACTCTTTTAGTGAAAATTTTAAGGTGGGCTTTAATTTGATTGTTTAGAGTCTTGGCACTATAAAATTTTTCCATTTAAAAAAAGTCTATTGAGTGGTATTTCCATACTTTACACTTTGCCCTTAAAAACTCCTTGATTTAGTGTTTGCACGGTAAATTTTGACTCTGATCACCAATCTGGATGGCAATTACTTGGAGTTGAACCTGTTCTGGGTGTGGTATATGTCCAAGCCCGATTTCCCCCTAAAATCCCACCTCTTATTTTATTTTTCTCTTTTTTTTTAAGCTTGTTTAATGTTTTTTTTTAGATCCTTTTAAATCCCCATCTCACAAATCATAGTTTTATTTTATTTATTTATTAATATTTTTTGGATTGATTTAGATCGGATTCGAATCACCGATCCAACGATCTGTCATAGATTTGCAGGAACGATCTTTCGCACCAATCTGGGTTTTAAACTATTGCTCCTATTTTTTTTTCCCACACGTCCAATAGCAACCCTTATCCTTCTCTATAATCTTGCCAATCTCTGGTAAATTGGGCAAATTGAGATGGTCCAAGATATTTTGAGGTCAATCGGGTAAAGGTATGCTAACTCTGCTAACTCCCATCTTGATAGGAGCCCAAGACCACACAAGGATCACCATCCTGAACATCATTCTTGTATAACTAAGAAAGTATTACAACGGTATTACACATCAATAAAAAAAGAAATTGCACATTGTAAAAATACATCATCTTTAACCAGGGAATCCGCCTTATCATTTTCTTCACGGTAAATATGCTAGAAGGAAATAACCATGTTCTGACAAAGATGTAGAATTTCCACCCAGTATTTATTACAATAGGTCCGTTTTTCCAAAGTTGATCACTGTTATTACCCGTCCCAGCCAATAAAATCGTGAATCTTTTCCGGGACTGGCAAGAACCGGCCACTTCTACACTTCGGCCGCTATGCAATCATTCCACTTTACTCTCTCAGTATACAGGAATAGAGAAAGACACAGTTTCTATACGGCCAGCCCGCATATAGTAGAAATGAGGGTTTGGCAATAAATATATTTTTAAATATAATTTGATTATAATTTTTAGATAATATATAATCTTTAACCGGGAGATCATGAATATGAAAAAAATAAAAAATTGAAGACTAAGAATAATATTTATATTAATAAAACTTTTGGACCGCTAGCTACATTTGTTTTTAGATGGACTACCTATTTGCATCCATCTTTAAGATGGATGCTTTATACCTCTGGACCGCTTATTGTAGAAATGCAGTGCAGCTTGCATGAAACTATTTTCAATAGATAACTTGACTTAATTTGAGATACTTTCTCTTTTTTTTGAAACACCGTCTTTAGCCATACGACCTCTTTACATAGTTGCATCTCACCTAGGGTAGGGGTACTTCACCATCACCATGTAGTTAAGGGTGCGGTTTGTATAGAGCCTAAGCTCTAAACAATCAAATTAGAGCCTACCTTCAAATAGTGTCAAAAAATATAGTTTCAATACTGAAAATCATTGTGATAGCATTAAAATATATTTTTACCTTTATTTATAAAGTTTAAAGCTTCGTAAATAGTGTAGATTGATAGATCAATAAAAACTTGAAAATTTTGAAAATTGATGGTCCAAAAATACATTACAAAGTACACTATTTCAAAACTTGAAATCCATTTTTTTCTCATGCATGTGCATCTTGATGTTTAGATGATCAATTTAAAGATATTTGGGTATCAAAAAATCATCTTCTAGTAAAAAATTTTAAGTAACCTTTAATTTGATTGTTTAGAGCCTTTGCTATATATAAAATTTTCCCTTTAGTTAATATATCTTATACACGAGTGGCAATCAGTATTATTTTCTATAATAGCCCGAATATTATGTGTCAACATATGTCAACACGTCAACAACTGCTGACACATCATCAATACAAGACCGTTCACATTGGGTGGCGTGAACCACTCAAGTTTTATTACAGGAGTCTTCTTCTTCTTCTTTTTTTTCACGTATATTGGAATGGCGAAGTGGCATGAGCACGTAACTTCAAGGGGTTGTGTGTTGGAACCCCACCCAACCCAAAATCGGTATTTTCTTAATTAAGGCAACAAAAAGCCCTTTTTAAATGGGGATCGTTGGCATGGTGAGGTTTGCTCTACCACCAAGGAGCCACTTATCTTTATGAAAGCAATGGTATGTCTTTTACAAAATAATGGCTCAAAAAGCAAAGCGGCTTAGAACCAGGAATATCTAACTTAAAAAGAAAGCGCTTCGGCCCGGACGCTTATCATATTGTGCAGGCTGCTGGCGAATTATTATATCTACTTGCAGAGTAATCACTGTACGGACAATGTCCAAAAGTATCGTCTTTTTTGACCTATTGTACTAAACACTTTACTCACGGTGTTCTAATTCCGAACCCTTATCGCACTTAAATGTGCAAACCAGTGGTTTAAAAAGTAGATCGGTGATTCGGATTGGGTATCTCAAAAATCGATTCGGATCGGTGAATCGGCGATTTGGATCGAGAATTGGCTGAATCGGTCGGATTAAAGCTTCAAAAAAATTCGAAAAAATTATTAAAATTCATTATAAATATTATTTTTTAGGAATCCAATAAGAAATGAAATTACTATATTATTAACTTTCATTTTTTTCATCAATTTGTGTATAGTGAGATGCTCTTTCCCTATACAAACTTATGTTAACTATTAAATTTACATTACATAAAAGAAAAATCATAGAATTATCATAGATAAAATATATAATTATACATGAACTATTATAAAGAATAGACTAATTAATGAAATAATGGTCATTAAAATCTCGTTTTGGTGAAAAACCCTAATCCGCTAAAAAAATCCAAATTATTACGGCCTAACTAACTATAATCCAAAATTATTAAAACCTAACTAATTATAATATTATATACTGAAA